CTTTCCATACGCTCTTTCAGTTATATAACAGTTATATGTTGGTTTGCTGGGATGATACGTATCACGCAGATAGTAGCTGGTAAAAGAGTTATTTCAAACCGACGCTAATACAGACGGTAATGTTTCAATAACAGTTCCGATTTTTGAGGTAGAAGGTAAAACCTTTCTAAGTCGCTGTGCCATTGAGTGTAAATCCGTCGTATCAAACGCATCGGAAACGCTGGTAGATATTTCAAAGTGCAAAGTCTCCTAGCAATACGGCTTTCTCTTTTTAATCATCTTAATAAACATTAAGTCACCTTATTAAACATTAAGATTTTGGATGGCACTCCGTAAAAGTTGCAACCGAAATAATCGATATAAAATATATACTTTTTCTCAGTGCTCACACGCAATACGCAATCTTTGGACATTTACATCAGTTTCTTCTAAAGACTAGATTAAAATACACAATTTTAAATTCTCGTAAGATAAGAGTCGTGATAAATAATATTCCCACTATAATGTATATGTTAGTTTTTGAAGTGGAAATCTCAACTATTTTAAATTTTTAGAATCAGTTTTAAATATTAATATTTCTTATTCAATCACCGACACGTTATTATATTAAAAGTAAAATATTTCATTAAAGATTTTAATTTTCTTACTCAAGAATGTCGTATTTTCATATTTTTTCACGTTCTTATTCTCTCAAAATTTTGAATCTTTAATTTTTACAGAAATCAAATACAAATGTTAGCATTTCCAAGTTATTAAATACTTGCACGAGTGAACATAAATGTAATCGTGAATAATTATATAATCATCATTTTATCATCATTAAAACTGCACAGTATTTTAACGTTTGAATTAAGGAATTACAATATTGGGAAACACGTAAATATTTCTTATTAGAAAAGCTGCTGTAATTTCTTTTCTTGACAAGTTTCAAATTAAACAAATAGAAACTTTTCCAGCATTTTAAGAGATAAAATTTTTTTTTAGTTGAAAACGCTCTTTGTCAAAGTCTCTTTGAGATATTCAATGTGTGTATACACAAAATGATTAATAAAGGATTGGAGACGTATCGTACATACGAGCGTTTTCTACGGACTCTACTCAAGTTCTGTGGCTGTTGGTACATGCCCACAAAATCCGGCAAATCCACGTATTGGTGGTCCATTTGCGTGATTTTGTTGATGATTATATACTTCATATTAAGCACACATAACAGTTATGTGCTGAGACATAATTTAGTATATATGATGAAATTCGTAGGCATAGCAATATCTGCAATCGGTGCCGTTCTCAAGGTACGAATAAAGAGAAACTTATATTACATTATGTGTATAAGAAAAGCAAGACCAGAAAATTATTTTACACACTAAAATGATTAATAAAGAAAAGCATCGTACATGCATACGAGCGTTTCCTTTTGCGGACTCTACTCAACAACCGTGGCTGTTGGTACATGCCCACAAAATCCGGCAAATCCAAGTACTATTGACGTAACGTGTTACATTGATATGTCACTACATTCGCGCCCTAAATTGCGACGAACCAAACAGATTGCAAAATTACTTCAATTAGCTACATACATATTTATACATATTTATACATTCGATAAATAGGCAAACGGGTTTGTAGTTGAAACAAATACTCGCAAGAGAAATGATTTACAACGTCAGTGTTTTCTTGGCCATATCTGGCATTTTTAATAATACAGAAAATTTATTGCGAAACATTATCTCAGCCAGAATTTGAACCTGGACCTCCCTACACTCTAGGCGGGCGTCTCACCAATTCGACCACCGAGGCACGTGGTAATATTTGTCGAAAAATAGACGCGAAGACAACATCTTTATACTGTTATTGCGACAAATATTACCACATGCCTCAGTGGTCGAATTGGTGAAACCCTGGCTGAGGTGATATTTTCCGCAATAACTTTTCTGTATTATTAAAAATGCCAGATATATGGTCAAGAAAACAATGTCGTTGTTAATTACTGCTGGCGGCATTGAAGAATATTCTTATTAGAAATTATTTAGTTAAGATTATCTTATAAAATAAATTGAACGCATATTTCTTACTCGAGCACATTTAATGTATCGGTTGATGCATTACCTTTTAATAAGCGTGACTTCTTTGAAACGCCCCATTTTTAGCAAGGAAGAAATACACAATGTTCATTTGAAATTCAAATATGACAATAAATAGAAAGACTCTTTCCGATAACAATCACTTGAATCAAATATGACAATTTTTTCAAATCGCGGTATGAAACATATCACATTAGTTCCTGTGTACACATCTTTGTCCCGCGTGGAGGAGAAGTTTCTAATGTTATTTCTAATTTTCTTCTAAGGTGTCAACTTTCCTGGTGAACCGCCGGTCTCTGATGAATTATCACCGGACGCTAAATGATGTTTTCGAAGAGGAGCTTGTGCGAAACGAGAAAATCCAGACGATAATGTTTTCGTCCCTGCCTACAATGTGCATCTTGACGTACACATACGCCGCCGTCATATTATCATTGTTCTTGGCATTTTATATGCCTGCATATTTATTCATAATCCGCGGCCTCTGTCACTTTCATTTAACCACGAATTACACCCTACCACTCGCAAGGGGAATCGCACATTTCTGGACCGTTCCCGACAACTTTTTGTATCATTTTCATCTATTTTTTGAAACGGTCCTAGTGATATTCAGCAGCTCGACGGCGTGCACCATTGACGGTACCTTTGGCTTGTATGTTTATCAGTTTGCCTCAACGATGAACGCCATGACCTTCAGGCTTGTGAATCCTTTGTCCACCGACAACTTGTCAGACCTTCTAAGGACGTGTATAATAAAGCATCAGAAGTTACTGCAATGCCGCGATATCCTGGAACACATTTATGGAAGAATTATTTTCTGGCACATCGTCACCAACGCAATTCTTCTTTGCTCATTGATGTACGAGATAACAACGGTACGTGGATACATTAACGCAAAATTTGATATTTGATGTCGTAATGTTTAATCCGTTTGTATTGCGCAATCGCAATCCCATACAGCACCAAAGCTTTCAGAAACATTTCAGAAAACATTGTTGCAATGTTGCAATGTTTCTGAAAGCTTTGGTGCTGTATGGGATCAGTCGTAAAATAAGCCTGTCATGTTGCTAATGTAACCACAAACTTCTATATAATACTAGACTGCTATTTACCTAACAAGACATGGCGGAACTCTTGCCTCACTTTTCAAAGCTCGAAGGTAGCAGTCTAGGGCCGGTATTCACAGTCCGATCTTATATTCACGTCTTGAGTTTATCTGAAGATGCTGTACGAAACATTTCATTGGCGTATCTAAAGATGATCGTCAAGCTGATTACAGATATGTCAGTCTCAGAATGGACCTATTTAACGTTCCAGAGATATCGGGCTCCAAAGGTTCCATTCTATTCCAAACAAATGGTTGGTATCTGTGTAGACGGCTTCATCGCTTACGCCCTGGGAATTTGTAGAGCCCGATATCTCTGGAATGTTAAATAGGTACACTCTGAGATTGGACATATCATCTTGACGAGACCTTTCGTTTGGTGCCTACTTTGTGACCAAAATCGAATGCGAGAAAAACGAGGCCATTCGCCTGTGAACACCTGTTCTCATACTTTGAACGTGTTTCATTTCGATACATTAGAGAATATTTGCGAACCTCGAATAGGCAAACGTTACAGTTTTCTTGCGACGCTTAATATTGCTAAAGTAAAATAATGTATAACTTTTAATCTACTTCCAAAAAAATGGAATATACGAAAAATGGCGCTGCGCTTACAAGGATTGTTCACTCTGCGTACAGCGAATATTTCATAATATAATATAATTGTTAAATTTTTCCAATAGACCTTGACCATGGACGTTAACTCCATCACCACCTTTCTGACATACGCTTTAGTAAAACTGCTTCAAACTTTTATATACGCATGGTGTGGTACCGTCCTCACAAATGCGGTGGGTTTCAGTGAATCGTTAATCTATTATATTTTACAATTCCAAATGAATTATTTCGTATATACATATGGGTGTATTTAGGGCGATGATTTCCGTAAAGGAATATATTTTGGCGGATGGCCCAATTCTGATCTCGATTGTCACTTGAGAACAAAGGTTATTCTGATGATGATGCAAAAGCCGATGACTATAAACGCATTTGTCTCTCCCGTTGATATAGCTATGTTCACTCGTGTAAGTATTTAATTTGCAATTGGCGGATTGTGAGCACAAATGCACACGCTCATAATTTCAAATAGAATCGCTGCTTTCAATTTTATCGCTTTTTGAGCTAATTTACATTTGACTTCTGTGAAAACTAAAAAGTTAAATTCAAAACTTGAGAGAATAAAAACGTAAAAAATATACAAATACGACATTCTTGAGTAACAAAGTTACAAATTTAAATGAAATCTATTGTTTTTCAAATTATATTCAGTGGAATGTATACTTAAAAATTTACACAGTGCAAAACAAGATAATATACATGTATGTATATGAGAAATTAAGAAATTTTAATTACCTCATGTCAATTAGAATTTTATTTCACTCTCGTAAACAGCTGTTTTCTTCGAATACACATTAATTTTACGTTTTGCAAAATTTGGAAATGTCTCTACACGTGCTGATAATATTACACATTTCGCACATTAGACTTTAATTTTAATCGTTTTATTTTCATTTGCAGTCCGTGAATACTACGATGTCCTATTACTTCCTCTTGCAATCTATTGGTGATAAAGGCTAACGGCTACGAATGTTTTATAAACTTTGGCAAACTTGTAAACTTGTTAAATTATTGACAGATTATTTTAATTAAGAAAGTATGGTAAATATTTAGATTAGGTCATTTGCGGGTGCTGACCTAATCTAAATATTTACCGAAACTCTTGCACCATTAATATCTTTTATCATTACTCTATTAGAGCTTAGGCCCAGTGAGAAATAATTCGTCAAACGACATCGACATGAATTTAACGGTATCGATGTTGATTCGACATCGTTTCGACATCGATCGACGAGTCATTTCTCGCTGGGAATCTATATTGAAACAATAACATATTATAACATTACTGGTTACATCGTGATTTTTATTTCCCCTGCTATTTACCTGACAATAACTTCATGGCATAGCAATCAACAGGAGTTTAGCAAATAAGCTTACAGAAATGTCAGGAATGACTAATTCATTTACGTGTGCAGTTAATAAGATTCTCAAGTTGCACACTGACCCAGTAAAAATGTTGGAGAGAATGATGCCAATATATCGTAGAGGGAAATATCGAACGCAAGTGACTGAACGGGACTACTTTTCGTACGACGACTATAAACGTCTATAGACGTCTACAGACGTCTACTTATATCCTCAGACAATCAAGATTACGAGTATCAATTCTTTTCGTTTACATGTTGAAAACTATCAACGGTATACCGACGATGTTTCGATCGACAATATAGGGGCTTTTTATCACGCAAGTAAAGAGAATCGCAAATCTATCCCCTTTCAATTAAATAAGAAAAGACAACACTAATCTGATGTGACTCGCAGTCTGCAGCTCTCCGTAAGTTTTTACGGTTCCTTTTGAAGTGCAATGTTTCTTATATCTCTAATTTGTCTACTACCACCACAAACTTGAACCAAAATGTTTGTGAAACTTCCGAAATTAACCATCAACTTTTCAAAGCGTTCGGTAGACGGTACGTATCACCCAAATGATAGTCAAAAAGAAAAGAAGATACTTCACAGCAACGCCAGTACAAATTGCACTCCTTCAACAACAGTTCCGATTTTTGAGATAGAAGGTAACATCTTTTTCTCTGCCTCGGTGCTATTCAATGTAAATCTGTCGTATCAAACACATCGCAAACGTTGGTAGAGATTTCAGAGTGCAAAGTCTTCTAACGATTTCTCTTTTAGTTAATAAACATCCTAGATAACATGCTTGTCTAAAAGACATCTTTAAGATTTCTTTAAGACGTCTTTTAGACGTGTATGTCTAAAAGATGTCTGAAAGACATGTTAAAGACATCTTAAAAATGTCTTTTAGACATGCATGTTATCTGGGATTGAGATTTCGAATGTGTGGAACTCGTAAAAGTTGCGACAGGAATTATCGGTATAAAAGATATACAATTCATTGTTATTTTCTACAGATTTTGTAAACACATTAATCGTAATTTTTATAATTATAGTTTATTTTAAATATTATCATAATTTATATCCATATTATCATAGACATTGCGATTATTATCATCATTAAAATTATAGGAGACTGTATTCTTTTATTGACTATCAGTTGGGTGATACGTCTATCGACACTTTGTAAACAAATTACGTACAATATTAAGAGAGTAAAAACTCAGCGATAGTTTTACTCTCATTAGGGAATTCACCATGATTTCCTCGCTGTAAAACATTAAACTAGAAAATTATTAAAACGAAACAACTACCACAGAAATTTTAATTTCTCTAACATTTGAAGGAATTCCGTCGACGTCTATTTAAATTATTTTATGTGGGATTTATGCGACTGATAAACAACTGCAAGTACCAGCGTGTCATACAAATTCTACTCGCTATAAGTGGCTGTTGGTACATGCCGACAAATTCCGTAAAGTTGTCACAATATCTTGCTAGAGCAATTATTGAAACTAAAAACTAATCATTTTATGTACATGTGTGTTTAGAGCGCGAACTTTCGTAAAGGAATATACTTTGTGGCCTAATTCTAGCCTCGATCGTCACACGAGGGCGAACGTATTGTACCGATGATGATGCAAAAGCCGACGAGTATAAATGCATGTCATGTTCACTAATGTAAGTGTTTTACTTGTAATGGGTGTGACTTCCGATCGAATTATTTTTAGCTTTATCGCGCCATCGCGTAAGTTTGTAATTTTGTAAATTTGTAATTTTTAAGTAATAATAAGTGAACTTGTGACATTTATATTTTATTTCTGCGAAAATGGGAGATTTCAAACGGGAGAGAATTGCACTGCAACATGTACCCAAGGAGAACAAAAAGTCAGGACGATGTTAATATGACATCGAATTAACATCATCCTGATTTTTTGTTCTCCTTGAGATATATGTTGCAATGTTTCTGAAAGCTTTGGTACTGTATGGGATGCAAAATGTCAAATTTTGGTCAATTTAATACCATTTGACTAAAATGGCATATTGACCAAAATGCCATCAAATTGACCAAAATTTGACATAAATGTGGTCAATACGACATCCCATACAGTACAAAGCTTTCAGAAACATTGCAACATCTCAAGGGGAACAAAAAGTCAGGATGATGTTAATTTGATGTCATATTGACCAAATTTATGTCAAATTTTGGTCAATGCCAAAATTTGACATAAATTTGGTCAATATAACATCAAATTAACATCATCCTGACATTTTCTTCTCCTTGGAATTGCAACAATGGTTTCTGAAATGTTTCTGAAAGCTTTGGTACTGTATGGGATCAAATCAGGGTTGTAAACCGGAGCAAAAATATATGTTCTTTGGAGCGTTTTTGAACCGGTTCGAATTTAAAAACCGCTCCGAAAACCGGATGAATTTACGGAGTAAATTATTTGGGACTTGGGATGTAAACCGAACCGGAGCGAATAAGATTGTAAACCGGAGCATAAATACGTTCTTTGGAGCGGTTTTGAACCGGTTCGAGTTTAAAAACCGCCCCGAAAACCGAATGAATGAAGTAAATTATTTAGAACTTGGAATGCAAATCGAACCGAACTGGTGAAATTTGCACATTTACCACCTCTCCAGCTATGTAGCAAAGACTCAAACGTGGTAAATCTTTTTAAATAAATTAAATCCTTTTTAGATAAAGAAACCGCTCGAAAACCGGTTTTTCATGCTCCGGTTCGAAACCGGAGCGTTTGAAATCATAATCAAAAATGGTTCGCTCCGGATCGGAACGATTCTATAATTGAAATTTTGATCCGTTCTCTCGGAGCGGATACACGTACTTCAATGGTTCGGTTCGGTTTACAACTCTGGATCAAATTGACGTCATCCTGACTTTTTGTTCTCCTTGGATACATGTGCTATGTGGGAAGATCTTGTCTCAAAATGCATTATTACATTATTATATTAAATATAATTATTAAAACAAAATACTCTCACAATCGGAGAGCGAGAGGGAGAGCGAG